CGGGTTGATGTGGTGCTGGGAGGTCTGGTTTAGTGATGATGCTCCTTGTTTGTTGTGGGGATGTCTATTTTTGTCAGTCAGGTTGACGGTTGGACAAGATGATCTTTAAGGTCCCTTCCAACCTAGAAGATTCTGTGATTCTGTGAAATGCTGCTGTAACTATCAGAGGGTAGTGTGAGGCTGTGCAGCCAGAGCAATCAGTCTGTGCCCACTCAATACTGACCAGAGGAACCCTGGCTGACCTGGCCGGTGCTCTCTGTGCAGCAGGTCACTCCCCCTCGTCAATTCTGCTTTATTCTCCCCTCTAGAATTCCCAGCACCTTTTCCAACTTGGCTCTTACCCTGAGTACCCACGATCTCCATGTGCAGATGGGCCAGCCCACTAGCAGCAGACAGGGCGAGCTTGATCATGCCCTCGATAGTCACCGTGTATCGATTCAGGTAGTCGAAGAGAGACCCGTGCTCGTGGTAGTCGGAGACGAGCCACAGCTGAGTCCACGTTCCGTTATCTGCAGGAAAGAGACCATGTTCAGTCAGGGACACCCTCAGCCTCCTCTTCCTCACACTAAACATACTGACCGGAGGAACCCTGGCTGACCCGGCCGGTGCTCTCTGTGCAGCAGGTCACTCCCCCTCGTCAATTCTGCTTTATTCTCCCCTCTAGAATTCCCAGCACCTTTTCCAACTTGGCTCTTACCCTGAGTACCCACGATCTCCATGTGCAGATGGGCCAGCCCACTAGCAGCAGACAGGGCGAGCTTGATCATGCCCTCGATAGTCACCGTGTATCGATTCAGGTAGTCGAAGAGAGACCCGTGCTCGTGGTAGTCGGAGACGAGCCACAGCTGAGTCCACGTTCCGTTATCTGCAGGAAAGAGACCATGTTCAGTCAGGGACAGCAGGGAGCCATGGAGCATTTTGCACCCTGTCTTTTTGGTACAGGATGCAGTTCCACAGCCAGCTTGAGGCAAATCAGGTAAAGAACTTTAAGGCAAAAACACAACTCCGTAAGGTACAGCTAACGCCCCACTGCGCCTCTCAAGATAGCAGCAATTTTACCATCTCTTGGCAAGAAACATTCAAATATGTAGCTGTTTGAAAAGCATGCTAACAGTTTTCATTAACCATTTAATTGCAAATCCAAACGAAGGAATGAATGCAGCTCCCAAGAGCAGACCAGCGAGGTCTCTGCTCTCAGGACTGAGGCTCGTTTTACCTTTGTTATCGGCAGCGATGAACCCCAGGATGTTCTCGTGTCGCAGCATCACGGTTTGATAGATTTCTGCTTCCCTAAACCAGGACCGCTCCTCACGTGAAGAGAAGATCTTTACAGCCACGTCGCCTCCACGCCACCTGCCACGCCACACTTCCCCGAAACGGCCCTTCCCAATGATCTCCTGAAGGACAATTGTCCGAGCCACAGTCCGTTGGACAAAAAGCGGCAAACCTACAGACCAGAAAGGAGGAATGAATGGCTGCTGCAGCAAAAGAAACTCCTGGAACCCCAGAGTCTGTAGTAGAGCATCTCCAGACCTAGAAGGCTCCAGCCTAAGCAACCCCCAAACCAGCAAATGGTGGTAGCTCCTGCGTAGGCCGTGCCATTTGGCTGCTTGGGCAGCATCAGCATATTGCTTTGAAGTAGCTTGAAACCCGGCAGTGATTAGGCACAGAGCAGTTGGGGAACTCCTGCTCTATGGCAGATCAAAGTAACTTTAGCCTGAATATGCAAAGAGTGTAACTTGTTGAAGACAGACTCTGCTAAAAAGCAGTAAACCCCCAGAATCTCTCTTAAGGAGCCCTAACGGAGCTGCCACCTCTTACGTCAGCTGCAGAGCTCACCTGCTGAGAGCACGGACAGAAGAGATGGCAAAACATTTTATATATAGCAGATACGGTGCTAAATGTTCATTCCCTGGTCAAATACCAGGTTGTTATGTTCTCTGCCTCTGTGGATTATCCTACAGTTTCCATCTGCTGCAAAACTCATTTTTTTTAAACCTAACTACTTTCATAGTTCAAAGTAATGAATAAAACGTGACTTCTCTATCTGTTCTGGGGATGGTTTCTTTTAAGTGCTACAAAGGAGAGCACTGGACATTGTTCACTTTGGAATATCCGAGGATTCTTTGGGCTGAAACACGCTGTGCAAATGCAGAATTTGCACACTGTCAAATTTTCAGCTGCTGGGATCCTTCCCATTTTCCTGCTAGCTCTGACGCAGGTGACATCCTGCATTCTCCTCTGAAAGCCAGCAACCCACAGGTTAGCAGTTAAGGTCTGTTTCCAACCCAAATCCTCTTCCAGGGCTAGATTTGAAATAGATGTCGCTGTTTTGAGTTATCCTCTTGGAGAGAAGCTACACAAAACTATTTTTACACATCAGCAGTTAAGGAGGAGTTGAACTATTGCTCTTACCCAGCCCAAGCACTCCACACTGACACGGGGCCGTGGCCACACCATCGACTGAATTTAAAACACGCCCTCCACGTTACTCATCACGGGGCAACCAGAACAGGCTGACGAGGAGGGGGGGGGGGGGGGGAAGGGCCATCTGTTGGTTCGGTTGCGGTGATTTCGGCTGAAACCACGACACTGCCCTAACACCCCACCCAAGCAGCATCAATTTTAGGACAGGGATGTGAAATCAAAGTGTGTCAGGGGAGGTTCAGGCTGGATATTAGGAAACATTTTTTCCCTGAAAGGGTTCTCAGCCCTTGGAATGGGCTGCCCAGGGAGGGGGTTGAGGCCCCATCCCTGGAGGTGTTCAAAAGACGGGTTGATGTGGTGCTGGGAGGTCTGGTTTAGTGATGATGCTCCTTGTTTGTTGTGGGGATGTCTATTTTTGTCAGTCAGGTTGACGGTTGGACAAGATGATCTTTAAGGTCCCTTCCAACCTAGAAGATTCTGTGATTCTGTGAAATGCTGCTGTAACTATCAGAGGGTAGTGTGAGGCTGTGCAGCCAGAGCAATCAGTCTGTGCCCACTCAATACTGACCAGAGGAACCCTGGCTGACCTGGCCGGTGCTCTCTGTGCAGCAGGTCACTCCCCCTCGTCAATTCTGCTTTATTCTCCCCTCTAGAATTCCCAGCACCTTTTCCAACTTGGCTCTTACCCTGAGTACCCACGATCTCCATGTGCAGATGGGCCAGCCCACTAGCAGCAGACAGGGCGAGCTTGATCATGCCCTCGATAGTCACCGTGTATCGATTCAGGTAGTCGAAGAGAGACCCGTGCTCGTGGTAGTCGGAGACGAGCCACAGCTGAGTCCACGTTCCGTTATCTGCAGGAAAGAGACCATGTTCAGTCAGGGACAGCAGGGAGCCATGGAGCATTTTGCACCCTTTTTGGTACTGAGCAGAGCTGCTGGGTAACAAGGCAGTTCCACAGCCAGCCTGGGGCAAATAAGGTAAAGAACTTCAAGGCAAAAACACAACTCCGTAAGGTACAGCTAACGCCCCACTGCGCCTCTCAAGATAGCAGCAATTTTACCATCTCTTGGCAAGAAACATTCAAATATGTAGCTGTTTGAAAAGCATGCTAACAGTTTTCATTAACCATTTAATTGCAAATCCAAACGAAGGAATGAATGCAGCTCCCAAGAGCAGACCAGCGAGGTCTCTGCTCTCAGGACTGAGGCTCGTTTTACCTTTGTTATCGGCAGCGATGAACCCCAGGATGTTCTCGTGTCGCAGCATCACGGTTTGATAGATTTCTGCTTCCCTAAACCAGGACCGCTCCTCACGTGAAGAGAAGATCTTTACAGCCACGTCGCCTCCACGCCACCTGCCACGCCACACTTCCCCGAAACGGCCCTTCCCAATGATCTCCTGAAGGACAATTGTCCGAGCCACAGTCCGTTGGACAAAAAGCGGCAAACCTACAGACCAGAAATTGGAGGAATGAATGGCTGCTGCAGCAAAAGAAACTCCTGGAACCCCAGAGTCTGTAGTAGAGCATCTCCAGACCTAGAAGGCTCCAGCCTAAGCAACCCCCAAACCAGCAAATGGTGGTAGCTCCTGCGTAGGCCGTGCCATTTGGCTGCTTGGGCAGCATCAGCATATTGCTTTGAAGTAGCTTGAAACCCGGCAGTGATTAGGCACAGAGCAGTTGGGGAACTCCTGCTCTATGGCAGATCAAAGTAACTTTAGCCTGAATATGCAAAGAGTGTAACTTGTTGAAGACAGACTCTGCTAAAAAGCAGTAAAGCCCCAGAATCTCTCTTAAGGAGCCCTAACGGAGCTGCCACCTCTTACGTCAGCTGCAGAGCTCACCTGCTGAGAGCACGGACAGAAGAGATGGCAAAACATTTTATATATAGCAGATACGGTGCTAAATGTTCATTCCCTGGTCAAATACCAGGTTGTTATGTTCTCTGCCTCTGTGGATTATCCTACAGTTTCCATCTGCTGCAAAACTCATTTTTTTTAAACCTAACTACTTTCATAGTTCAAAGTAATGAATAAAACGTGACTTCTCTATCTGTTCTGGGGATGGTTTCTTTTAAGTGCTACAAAGGAGAGCACTGGACATTGTTCACTTTGGAATATCCGAGGATTCTTTGGGCTGAAACACGCTGTGCAAATGCAGAATTTGCACACTGTCAAATTTTCAGCTGCTGGGATCCTTCCCATTTTCCTGCTAGCTCTGACGCAGGTGACATCCTGCATTCTCCTCTGAAAGCCAGCAACCCACAGGTTAGCAGTTAAGGTCTGTTTCCAACCCAAATCCTCTTCCAGGGCTAGATTTGAAATAGATGTCGCTGTTTTGAGTTATCCTCTTGGAGAGAAGCTACACAAAACTATTTTTACACATCAGCAGTTAAGGAGGAGTTGAACTATTGCTCTTACCCAGCCCAAGCACTCCACACTGACACGGGGCCGTGGCCACACCATCGACTGAATTTAAAACACGCCCTCCACGTTACTCATCACGGGGCAACCAGAACAGGCTGACGAGGCAACAGCCAACCTGTGGCAACCAGGGGCCCAGGACAGACTCCTCCATTAGAATTCGTCATTTCCAGTCATATCTTAATACCTGAACCAGAGCCAGAGGTGGAGAGATCGTAGACGAGATCTTGCAAGGTCTTATCCTTCGACAGGCACATTTCACAAGAGGGGTCTTCCATGTCCAGCCGCTGACGGTTGTGATAGACCCGTTGGTGGTGATGAAAAATAAAGACCACTATGATCATGACAACAAACACAAGGAAGACAGGTCCAGCAATCACTGCCACCAGCTCCACAGGACCCCAGCTTGATGGAGGTTCATTATCTTTCAGGTGTCCTTGAAAGGAAAGGGAGGAGAAAACCAGACACTTTTAGAAAATTATCACTCCTTCGTAAGAGTTCTTTAAGGACTTTCTTCTTGTGTTTTAATTATCCTCTCAGAGCCTGGACAATTTTAGCTTGCTGTTTCAGGGTGGTAGAGGACACATCAAATAACATGGGACTGATAAAGTCACCAAACAGGCAAACTGCAGCTAGAACCCCCAAAAGAAGATGGAGCCTCAATTGTGGGACCAGGGATTATGGCACTTGCTATTTAAAAGAGGACAGGAGCCTCTTCTGGGCTGAATTTGCTAGAACAGCCTGCATTTTACCTTCCACTCAAACTCTCCAAGCAGCAGAAAAAATCAGCAGGCAGTAAGGACTCATTTCTCTCTGTCCCCTTTGCCCTGTAACAACCAGTAAAGAATCATACCTGAAGACAACAATTATTTGTCTTTTTGAGAACAGTTAAGATTTCCCCACTGTACCCAAGAAAAATTGAGTCTTCATACGACCCACTAAATAACAGCCCAAAATGGAGCCTAAGGAGGTATGAGGAAGTACTGCCTGCCCTCTGTGTCCCAGGAATTAGGAAGAAGCAGACATTTCCCACACCCTCACTCAAAGGCAGGGCTGCTTCCTCTTCGCGTGTTCAGAATCCGTGCACCCCTTCACCCCACACACTTCACTCCGAAGCTGCTGCAACATTCCCATACTGATGGCTCACCACTGAGAAGATCTGCAGTCCTAGGAGATGGAAAGTGACTCCAACTGATAAAAGGCAGGCTACAGCACAGCTCAACCCCAGAATCAGGGACCCGAGCTGTGCCCAGGGGACACGCATCATCCTCAGGCCACTGCAGGACGAGCATCGTGCAGCAGAAACTTATATTTTAAGTGTAAACGAGCGCTGCTGCTGCTGCTTTCAGGAGCCTGTAGGACATCAGCAGCAGAGCTGGTAAGGTGAGAGGAGTCTCATAATACAGAGCTCCTGAGTGCAGGTGGGAAAAAACCCCAAACCTTGGAAGCCTCTCCTACCCTAAAGTACAACCCCATCATCTGGTGACATTTTGTGGGCCACAGGGAGCTCACATTTTCACATTAAAGTAGTTTGTTATTATTTCTACTTTATGGATCAAAGAAATAAACCTAGCACTCAAGTTCACACAGCAACCTAAGGGAAGTAGGGAATAGCGGTCGAGGATTCCTTATTCCCAATCCCAAACAGACAGCTTCTTCCCTCCCCACTTCAAACAGGCCATTTATTTAGTTCTCTACTCACCACTGGGAACCATCAAATCAATTTTGTTGCAAAAATCAGAGTAGCAGCAGTGAGTATTACGCAGATCTTCTGAACTCAGACAATAGAAGGGTTTCCCAGCAGGAATCAATTTTGCTTCAGGGATGCAGGTCCGAACGTGATGTTTGACGCCGTCCAGGTTGAAGACGGAGACCATGCACGCGCCATCGGTCTCACAGGTGGAGTTGGCTTGTTTGCAGTCGGAGCACAAACATGTCAAAGCTGTAGAACCAAAACAAGACCCCCTCCTTAAAACCCACCGGAGACTGAATGCTCAAACAAGAGAAAACTTCTTGAAATTTCCCATTTCAGAGGGAATGGGCCGCTCTTGGGCTCAGGAAGAACTGACTTTGGGAACAGAACAAGTCATACTCAGCGTTTCAGACCCACAAGAACCCAATTTAAGCACAAAACACAACGTGGAAGCAGAGAGGCCTTTCCAGAAGACGACTGCCCAGACAGCCCTTTTTCCTGCCCCTGTTGCAACCACTAACAGTGATGACCCGAGCCATTCCTGCAAACTAGGCTAGATTTTACCAAGATCCACTCCCAACCCAACCGAGGGCCAGAACACAGACTCAAAACAATTGTTCACCCTGACAGACTGGGTTTCACCCCAAATTGCTCTCTGGGCTTTCTCAGCCATGCCGAGGATGAGCTGCCCGTTCGGGGCCAGCGAGGGATGACCTCCCCAGCCTGTGGGAGACAAGCAGCACTTGAGAGATGCCCAACCAAAACCAATCAAAACCATCTACACAAGCCAAGCGTGCTACACCCGACCAGATCAGCCACTTAGTTACTGCTTTCCCGATCCCAGACACTACCTTGGGTCAAATACATTCCTGGCTTTTTGCCTGCTCTCCGTGAAGATTATTTGGGCAAAGAGCGAAGGAGAAACTCCGAGGCAGATTCCCACATTTTTCCGCCTCCCAGCTGTCGTTGTGCTTTTCTCAAGCTGCCTGAAAAACTGTAAGCAAATCCCCTGGCATCGCCATCCTTGGGAACAAAGGGCGAACACAACAATGTCAAGAAGAAGGGTGGGGCTTGTTTAGCAGCACACAGTATTTTCTTCAGCTTTCATCAGATCTTTCAGCCTCCCCGGAGGGATTCAGAAACATGTACTTACCCGCTGCAGAAATGGTCTTTCAGGTAGAGAGAGAGTCTGAAGAAGGGTTTTAAAAGAAACAAGCGCCACAGTTAACTCTCCCCAGCCCGATAGCTGAATCCTCTCTGTCTGCTTGTACCCTCTCGGTTTAAAGACACAAATGAAAGTCACTGTCAACACTCGTGCGTGTCGGGCACCTTCCTGCAGGGCAGGGGAAGTGCCGAGCCCTCAGTCACCATCTCTGGCAACCAGCAGACTTAAGAAGCATCAGCATTCAAGGATATTCATTCCTGGCACTGGAAGAGCCTCTCCCTCCCAGCTAACACACTGCTGAGGGCACCTCACTTGAGCTTAACGAAGAACGAGCAGGTCCTGATCAACCTCAGGGTTCTCCGTTTAGGAGGAAGACACCCATTATCCCTTATCTCCAGCGTCCTAGGAAAATCAGTTGGGCTAATTGACTTAGGATTCAATTCTCTCTGGACACTGCGTTCTCCATTTCCGAGCTGCTGTTGGGAGCTGCTCCACAGCTCGGAGGGGGGCTGTGGTGGTTCAGACGGGCCAAACGCAGACACTGCTGAGTTTTGGACCCTCAAAGCTGAACCAGCAGCAAAAAGCCAGTAAAACCCCAAAGAGCTGTTAGGTGAGACATCGTCAAAAAGCATCACAAGCAAATGTAGCTTCCTACTACGTGCTTAGCCCAGGCCAAGGAAAAGGAACAGAGGATGGAAAAGGGACAGGGAAGATCCTGAGACTGATCCGTGTTGAGGATTGAGACCATCGCACCCATCGATTACGTCGCTTTTAAGGGGAAACTTTATAATGAAAGGAAAAAAAACCCACTAATGTTCAACTTGACAAACAGCTTCGAGCACGCTGTTTTCCAGTGGTCAGCAGAGCACAGAAAAGACAATTCTTCTGAAAAATATGCACACTTGGGGGAACAAAGGTTGTCTATAATGGAGTTTTTATGAAAACACGAGAAAGGAAGGAGCAGCCAGGGCACATTCCTACCTTCAAGAACGCTTAAAAGGAAAGAGTGTTTTAAAGCATCTCATTTGTTACTTTATCAAAAACTCAAGGTACAAATTAAAAACATTTAAACCACACGTTTCACCATATAGGCTCTTTTCAACTTGACTTAGATACAGCAAAACTGAGCTTTGTTCCTGTTAGACTCATTTCTAAGGTCTCAGACCCAAGGCATGTGCTATGGCAGTTTTGCTTTCAGAAGCTCCGAAGTAAACAAAACAAAACACTTCAATGCACTAACAAAACTGGTTTTGTAAACTTCTTACTGAAACTAAGTACCTGGCCTGAAACTTAAGCATCCCTCTGAGAAAGAAAGCAGAGGAGCTGGTTGTTTCATTTCTAGCATTAAAAAATAATTTAAAAAAATCAGTTTACCTGCAAGGTATGATACCTGGTGCACAGGGACAGAGGAAGAAGATGGGTATCTGTCCTGTGCAGAGCAGAAGTTTCCTGCTGAGAGGCAGCCCCACAGACACAGCCTCAGTTCACCTCCTGGTGGTGCCAGATGATGTTCCCCCTCTGAGATAACTACTCTTTTTTAACAGCAATTCTTATGTTTGCACCTCAAAACTCCTTACGGTAAGGAGAGTAGCGCAAACAAAGAAAATTAAGGCTTCAGCACACACGTGTACTTCTGCTACACCTTTCAGGAGAGACACTCGAGGCTTTCCAGAGCCTCTCCAGGCTACAGGCAGGCACTCTCGAATTTTAGGAAAGATGGTCAGATCCCCGGGCAAGCACTGGAGTCCAGCTCCAGCCTCCCTTGCACAGCCAGGAGTAGACTCTTTATTTTTACTATGAAAAAGCCCAGGATACACATCCACCATGGCTACAGCCACGTTCCTCCCCAAGCATCACCTCCTGTGGGCACCAGCTGGAGGAAAGGCTTGTCCACACCGGGGCTCACCAGGAACCGGGCTGAGGAGAAGGACAGGGCAACCCACACCGGTCCAGCATTTCAAGTCTGATTAACCAGGAGGGAAAATTCTCCTCAAAATCCCCTTCCTTGGAGATTTTCAAGACCCGCCTGGATGCAGTCCTGAGTAACATGCTCTAGCTCCAGGCAATCCTGCTTCAGCAGGGGAGTTGGACTAGATGATCTCTATGGTCCCTTCCAACTCTAAAATTCAGTGAAAATTCAGTGAAATCAACCGCAGCAGAAGCCAGGAAAAAGCAACTGTTATTTCCCCTTGGGGTAAGGGTCAGAAAATGGACAGGTACCCACAGCCCCACACCGGGCATCTCTGGGGTGCTCCTGAGAGCGGCCGGGGATTCCTGGGCGAAGCAGGAGGAGAGGGAATAAAAGCATTTTTCATACCAACAGCATTCTTTTTCTTCGGGAAGAAAAGCTCCTATTGAGCAAAACATATAATCTACTTAATAAAAGAAACTGACTGGGGTGAAGAAAATAGATGGGGCAAAGGAAAACAAAAGAGCAGTTTAGAGAGCAGGGGCAGCCCAGGGATGAGTCTGCCCGGAAGGTGCTACAGGAGTTGGCAGCAGAGGCTGCTCGATCTGCTCAGCACACTCCTCCTGCCATCCTGCTCACACACAAACCCAACCCTTTCGAGAAGCTGTTTAAACAAGCCTAACATTAAGCTGCAGATCCTCAGAAAGAAAGCTTTGTTCTCGTTCGGGAGATGGATGGGGTTGGGATTTATACCCAAGCGAACCCTCGCTGTGATTTAATCCCAGGCAGAGGGTGGGTGGTGGCCACAGCCGGCCCCCAAATTCTCCTTCACCCTTGGCTCACGCTGCCCAGGGCTCGGCTGCTGGCCCAGCTACTCCTTCCAGTGGCCACCCCGGGCCCAAGAGGGGCTTCTCCTCCCTGCAAGGCACCCATCCAGGGATATGGATTGCTCCTGGCAGGAACTGGGCATGGAAGTATTAGCATCCCTTTGCATTACCTACAGCAGAGAAAAAACCAAGAAAAGGCCTTCTTGTACCAAATTCCCCCATTAAAGGCGATGACTATTTACAAAATGAATCCAAACAAACAGGTGGAGGTCCCTGGATTAGAGCTCAAGGCTCCAGGAAGACTAAAATATTAAGCTCTGACAGTCAAAGAACATTTCTTTTTTTTTTTTTTAGCAACTATCTGAGCTCATTTTGCACATATTTATTCTCACACAGGATTGCATGTGTCAAGATGTCTATGCAGCTAGACAGGGGAAAGTTTCACAGCAAAATCTAATGTAATGGTGTTAAGCACCTTTTGGAATACACTTTCCTGAAGCTGTGCTATGCAAGATGACGTTTTCTCAGGGCTAACCCCTACCTGATCAAGACGCATTAAGATAATTAACCTGAAGATGATCATTGGTAAAATTGCCAATAACCACCCACGTATTTACCAGATAAACAGATTTTTTGCAGAGATTGTAAGCTGCTGTTCTTTTTCAACAGTTTGAATGGAGGCTGGAACAACAATGATTGCCCTGACTTCTGAGCCTTTATAAGGCTCTGGAAGAGGAGCTGCAATTTATTATGTCTCTGTACAGCACCTAACTTAATGAGACCCAATCTGATAGTGATGCTTTAATGCTGCAGCAGCATAATGTTAGCAAGAGAAATGGAAAACAATTGGGTTTGTACCTCTGCTGTTTCTTTAGATGCTTTAATGAAGAGGGACATGTGTAAACATGCTTGGAAGAAAGAAATACCTTTCAGTGTTTTGCTATATACTGTGCCGAAATAAAGAATAACCTTTATCACAGAGTGTTTTGCCCAAAAGCAGGCTAGGAATAAAATGCACTCCCTTGCAGCAAGGCAGCAGAGGTCTGTTCCAGGAGTCTCTTTGTGCTCCCTGTTCAAACAGAGCACCCCAAGAACGGTGCTTCCAGAAAACAACCAGGGCTTCACGTTCAAAAGGCTGGGATGAGGACACCCAAAGCCACCTGATGAAGATTTAAAAACAAAGATTTACTTTCCATTATATTCACCTTGATCCCTCTGCTGCCTGGCATCAACAACTGGATCCCTACATCCCTCTCTAGGATATGCCCGAGGCCGAAATGCCTGCCTTGTATAAATTTATATATATATATACACACCCACCAGTATCTTCTCCATGCTCCAGAGTCAGCTCACCCACACCCACTGCCTCCACAATCAAGTGCCACTTCTGGACACTCCCAATGTCCCTGTTTCCTTACAAAGAGCAGAAGAAATGAGCCCAGATTTGCCCTTCTGTAGACACAGTGCCACCAACCCGGGTATCTCTCCTACATCCCCCTGCCCCAGCAACTTCTCCTCCTCCTTTCAGATCTCAACATCTCTTTTGCTCCTTGCTTATGAAATCTACTGACCCACTGCTGCTAAATGAGAGAGAGTTAAAATTAGCTGCAAAGTACTATGAAAAAAAAGCACTTTTATGCAAGTCATCCAGAAACTAAAAATTATACTAGGATATTTAAAGCTGGAAACAAGAGTCTCAACTTTTTCAAGCTGGCTGCAGTCCCCTGGCACAGGTTGAACCTGATATGAACACATCACGGCTGAGCAGAAAACATGTACTAAATGGAAAAAAAAAAAAAAAAAGGCAGGAAGAACATGCTCTCACCTTTAAAGTGAAAAACTTTCCCTGCATCTATTCAAGTAACACGAAAGGAGAGCTTCTAAATGAATTTTAAATAAGCGAATTGACAGGATTCTCAACATTAATAGGTTAATTAGAAGAAGCCTTGACATTTCTGCTGCTGCTCTTCAACTCAGGAAACAGACACATGGCTCTGAACTCCCTCTCCAGGCTCCGGTCTGACACCTATTTTGCGTTTTAACTTGTTAGGAAACCAGTTTAGGAGCCACCCATACCACATCAGCACCGTGGAGGAAAGCCCTGCAAACCAGTGGCAGATCCACAGATCATTACTGATGGCTTTCCAGACTGAAGACCGATGCTGTGTATTCTCAGGCAAGAGGCACACGCTTTTTCAGAGTCTAAATAAGAAGCTGTTTAAGATGCAGCCTATGTTCCAGCACCCAGCAGCCCACAGGTTACTTCCAAGAAGCCCACAGAAGGCAGCAAGAGCTGAAAAACCAAGCCTTTGTCAAGGGGCTTTATTGGGCAGCGAAGTCTACTTTTCTGATGCAAAAAGAAATAGATGGGTCCACAATCAATGAGAAGGGAGGCTAGAAAGCCAGGGGCTTAAATCATGGGGACAAAAGAGGTCTCCCACCCTGTACGGCTGCTCGCACAGGGGGTCTGGCTCCACAAGCTCAGCACCAGCAAAGGTCCAATCCCTGTTACACCGTCGCAGGTTTCTCCCTCGAGATGAGCGATTCCTCCCCGCTCTGCTCGATAACCGCGCTGGCTGCGCGGCAGAGAACATATTTCCACTGGTCAACACCCAGTGAACTTTGCTTGCTGTTCAGAGAATTGACGTTTTACTTCACTCCTTTCGCAACAGCGATTTCCGGAGCATCCACTGCTGGCAGCGGACGGCATACCCAGGGAAAGAAAAAAAATAATCTGAGCTGTCTGGCCAAGGAGCTGAAGGAGTTCAAGAATGCTCGTTGGACACTGTTTTTAATTTCCAGTTAGAGAAGTCTTTCTTGGAAAGTTGCAGGATATAACTTACGGACCACGCGGAGTTTGCCTGATTTAACCGGGTAAATATTTTAAGCAGGTGTTAATAGTAAGATCTGCTGGCCCAAGATTGCTCCCCACGGTGTTCTTTTGCATTATTTCGAGCATGCAAACAAAGCCTACCTACAACCACCCCACAACCACCCTGCAACCGTCGCTGCAGAGGCACCTTTTTTTAATTTCCCTTTTTTGGAAGGAGTTGGGGGGGTGTGTTTTCTCCTCCATTTACTGACGCACACAGAGGTTCACAGCTCCCGAGCACTGCAGAAATTAGGATGCCTTTCCAACCTCCCCTGAAATAAGCAGCTGTTAATATCTCTCGTATAAAGCGCAGCAGTAAGGGCAGCAGTAGTAAGGATGCAGCCTGAGCGCGCATCATGGCTGCCCGAGCAGCGAACCATTTGCAGGGTGAGGGTCCCTGTTCCCTGCCATCCTGCTCCCAGCTCCACAAACGCCCTCGAGGCCAGGCTGAGCCCACATCTCCTACTGAACAGCACAAACAAAAATGTACAACACACACCGAGCGGAAACAATAACCAGCCCCCCAGAGCCCAGTATCAAAGGCACCGATAGCCGGCTGAGTCTCCAGGAGACACGTACAGTCAATTGGCCCTTTCCTGTTTATTTATTTTTTTTTCTTAATAAACACCAGCTGTATTTAAAACGTGAAGTGAAAGTCTGAGAGCAGATGTGAGATGAGACTCATCGGGGTCCTGCTTTGCCATTTATCACAGAAAAGCTCAAACGCTTTTCTAAGGCTGGATTATACTTTAGGTGAGAACAAAGCCCAGCCACAGTCCCCTAAAGCAGGTTTGTATTACCAGATTCACCCGCACGCGCAAATACACCCCTAACCTAGTGCCCTAGTGGGGGTTTAAAGCCATTTTCTGCAGCAAACAAGTCCAGATCTGCAGGCACAAAGTTATTACCTTCTCGCAGTCGGTTGGTAATACATAACACGAATGGCGAGTGGATTGGGGAGGAGAAAAATGTTTCAGTGCAACTCCTGTTGGAACAGGTACCTGTGTTACACAAGCAGCGATCGCCCCCGATAGCCACGGCGAGAGGGACGGCGCGGCGAGGCCTCGGCCGCTGCCACCAGCCCTACCAAGAGGAGCTCAGAGATGCTTCAGGCCAAGTCCAACGCCAGGGGAAAGGGCCAATCTCTTTAAAAATGTGGAGCTGATACCTCTCGCTCTTCCCCCAACTGCAGCTGCACCCTCTCAGGTAAAGAAAAAGGATCGCCACAGAACAAACAACCGAAAC